ATATATATATATATATATATATATATATATATATATATAATATATTATATATATATAATATATATATATATATATATATATATTTACGTTTCAAAAAAAAAAGGCATTCATTACTTCTTTTTTTCTTTTCAAATTCAATTTTGCACTGCTGCCTTTAGTGCACTACTGTAATTGAGTGAGACATTTAAGAGATAGATAAATGGTATTTTAGACAAATACTCTTATTATTAAGGATTATTAATTGTTTTTCTTAAGAAGTGTATAAATAATCTTAAAAGAATATAATATGTACCGGAGGTAGCATGTATATAACTTGAAAAAACGACGTATATTTAAACTAAGTCTATACTTAGTGTCATAAAAAAATATATATAATGAGTGAAATGGTATTCGACATCCACCAATTTAAATCCTAAGTATCCATAGGCAAAATTATGTTTGAGCGCTCCATGACTATCAGATTAATTTGCATAGTTGTTTACATGATGAGAATAATATTTAAATTCAAATACTATAATAGTATCTTTCAAATCCTCGAATATCTGAAAAAGAAATAGAAAAAAAGGTCCAAAATAATTATGTGCCAAAAGTCACTAACTTCGTAAATTTTCAACAGGGGCAACAGGGGTGGTGTCATAATCTTCTCAAAGCCAACATAGCAACAGGGGCAGAGCTAGCCTTGAAGATCGTGAAGTGAACGTTACAACTATCCCGGTGCGAAGAACCCCGAAGGTGACTGTAATGTGCAGAAATCTCACTCACGAGCCTAAACGACGAGCAAACACTCAAAGAGCAAGGGTGGTCAACTTAGAGGGTGCCCGCCTCATCTTCAGACGTGTCCTCGACAGCCTGGAGGAACTAGAATTTTTGGTGCAATCACCCGGGAATTGAGAGAATTAAATTTTATTAAAATAGTTTTATTAGCTCCCGAGATATTATAGACAGTCTCAGTACCACTGAAAGTGCGATAGTCCTTGAAGCAAGGGACGGATCGAAAATCGAATCCTAAAGTGACTTGGGAACAGGTTCGGAAGGATCAATATATAATGAAAAAAGTAATCGTGACCGTGAGTTTAATTAATATAGAGGATTTGAAGTTTTTAGAAAACAAATTTTAGAAGTATTTCATATGTTTCACTCACAAACTTCAACTTTTTTTCGTCTAAGTGCAATTCATATCCAATACAGCTTGTTACCTAGGCATATGAACATGATTTGATTGAAGTATGAGAAGAAAGACTATTTATGTTGAAGTTAAAAAAGGGCAATAAAAAATAGGTAAGTTTAGTAATTTTGCAATCTATAGTTATATTTAGTACACACATAAAGGAGAAATATATGCAAAAGACACTATAAGGTAAGAAATATATGTTACAATTTGATTCCTCGTGATATAGTCTAAGGTTCGTTTGATACGAGGGATAAGAGATAATTAATCTCGAGATAAAATTTAAGATGAGTTTATTCCAAATTTGATTGAGATAAAATCGCGGAATAACTAATCCCATAATTAATTATTCTGGGAGTGCAGTATTTATTTTATCCCTATGGGAAGATGAAATAACAATCCCGAAACTAATCTCGGAATAATTATCCTAAAACAACTTATTTTCCAACCAAATGACAACTTATTTGTTAACCTAATATAGTATAACAATTACTTTTTTGCGTTAACAAATTAGCAGAAACTTTAAATAGGAATGAACCTTCACTAAATTGGAAAGAGAAAAACATTATAGCATATTCTTATTATTTTTAGTTTTTTACCAGTTTAAGAAGATCCAAAATGCATCAACACCAGCTGTACATACAATTTTACTTTGTTAATAATTTACCCCCTTACACTTCTTTTTCTTTTTCCACCAATAATTTAAAAAGAATTATTACGTTAAAGATGATTTCAGCATGACATCAGCAACCAATTTAGGATAAATAATTAAAAAAAATGGCCATTCAGGTGACGTAATTATCCTTAATTAAATCTAGACGAATCTGAGAAGTCACTTTAATTTATTTCTATTTTCTTTCCATGAATCAGAGATTTTTTTTATAATTGTTTTTTTTTTTTTTGGTTAGTCTCTGACAAAGAAGAATGAGATGGTCAACTACATTTCCATGAATCCTCACTATATAAGCAGAGCGGCCTTAGCCAACTCTCCAATTCTCTATCCCCCTCTCTGTATAAAGCATACATAGAACGCAAAAGAATACCAGATTCTGCAATGGCAACCAAAGTCTACATTGTGTATGTTTTCCTCTTTTTCTGTTTCAGTTTCTTCATATATTTATTTGTATGTGTATGTATGTGTGTGTGTGTGTGTTACTTTTTGTTCTCTCTGTTTTCTGCATATCCATTTCTTCTATCAAATTTGTTTTTGATTTTTACTGGATTTAAAGTCAAAGTTATGGTGCCTGATTGTACAATAGACTTCTAAAAATTATGCTTGAATTGGTCGAGGTTATTTCTTCATTTAATTTTTAATCTTGAATTTAAAAACTAATGAACATGTTTATTTAAATTTTGGCAGGTACTATTCAATGTATGGGCATGTTGAGAAGCTGGCACAAGAGATTAAGAAAGGTGCTGCATCAGTTGAAGGTGTTGAAGCTAAGCTATGGCAGGTCTGTTAATGAATGACAAATCACTCATGATTTGGAAACTTTTCCATTATTACTAAATGCCTGTCACAGCATTTTGTATTGTTTTAAGTTATATGCACTAACAATACATAGATTTTGTATAAATCAGATTAAATTGACCTATAACAACAGATCATTTTTCATAATAAGCCTTATAAGGTAACTTGAAAAATAGAGTAATAGCCTGTATATCAAGTTCACTGTTAATAACAGGTTGATCGCATGACAAATCACTTATAACTTGAATTTTTTCCTTTTTTCTGAATGCATGTCACAGCATTTTCTGTATGGGCATATGTAGCCGTATAACACCGGGTTCAATTGGACCCATAATTTTTTATGCGTTAGTACAAATTTATATGCAAAAATTACTAAAATCACAGTAAATTATAGATATGAACCCATAACTGCAAAGATATAATGAGTTCAGTAGTAAGAACCTTAAAAGTTGAACCCATAGAGTTTAAATCCTGGATCCGCCTCTTATTTTCTGTACTCTTTATGTGCACTAACAATACATAGATTTGTATACTATCAGATTAAACTGACTTGTAACTAGCAGATCATTTATACTGTCAGTACATATAACTTAAATCTGTCTATATTACTCTATATATAATCTTATGTGCCGGTTAATATATGAATGAAACAGGTACCAGAAACTCTATCTGAAGATGTGCTTGCAAAGATGAGTGCACCTCTGAAAGGTGATGCACCAGTCATAACACCAGATGAACTTGCTGAGGCAGATGGCTTTATATTTGGGTTCCCAACTAGATTTGGAATGATGCCCGCTCAATTTAAGGCTTTTCTTGATGCAACTGGTGGTCTTTGGAAAACTCAACAACTAGCTGGCAAACCTGCTGGCATTTTCTATAGCACTGGTTCTCAAGGAGGTGGTCAAGAGACTACCGCGTAAGTCCCTTTTCCTCTCGTGAAAATTTGAAGAATTAATGTAGTTACATCATATTAAGAAAAATTCTATTTGAATCATATTAATAAAACACGATTCAAGTACATTACTGTAACTCTCCTCAACGAGATTTCATTAAATGTGATGTATGTTTGCAGGTTGACAGCCATAACGCAGCTTGTTCACCACGGAATGATCTTCGTTCCAATTGGCTATACATTTGGAGGAGGCATGTTCGTGATGGAGAAAATCAAAGGTGGAAGTCCGTATGGTGCTGGAACGTTTGCTGGGGATGGTTCAAGACAGCCAACAGAGCTTGAATTGGAACAAGGTTTTCATCAGGGGAAACACATTGCCACCATCGCTAAGAAGCTCAAAGCCTCTGCTTAAACATGATCTCTATTACTACAGTTTCACCATTTGCATTCTATAGTGTTTTCTTTGTTCTGTTTAGAGCACATGTTTCGGTTTAAATTTGGTGTTGGTACTGAACTATGTTTACAGCCTATTGTTCAGTGTCTGTTACATGTCAATTTTACATGCTTAAGAATCTTGATATTTTCTTTTTGTGCCTCGAATCATTGGATGTTACACCTTGTGTGCTTATTAAGAAATCATTATACATATTGAACTTAAAATATTTATACTTAACACTGATCCAAAATAATTTCCTTGAAGAAACAAAATACCTATTGAGATACCAATAACCAACTCTGCAAATATTTTTTCTATTTCTTGTTCACAAGGGACTCATTTTCAACTTGAATTTCTCACTTGCATAACCGAAATCTAGTCATTCATTTTTGAATTAATAAGCAAATGCGTAGGACCAAAACTAACATCCCTTTCCCTATTTTATTATACGCCCCAAATTTCAGATAACACTAATTCTCTCTTGGTTATTCTCTACAATTCAAAATTTTGCCATATGCCAACTGTTCCATTTAGGGATGGCAATAGGGGCGGTGTGTGTTTAGACATATACGGGTGTGCGGTGAGGAGCGATGGAGGTTTAGTAGATCTATTGTTATTCGCTAGTTATGTCTATTTAAAATAGGGGCGGATCCACGTTTATGCTTGGGGTCATAGGAACTCATGCTCACTCCAAAAACCTGTATTGTGTTACACACAATTCTCATAGATTATACCAATATTATCCGTATACACCCAATAAAACAAAGAGAGGTGCACAGAACAAAGTTTGTGGTGCTAAAGGAACTAATGAGTTACATGCATATGTGTAAAGGGATTGAAACCTTTTGACTTGATTTCCATTTTTCTAAACAGTTTTCCAAATAAAACTTTTATGTTTTTTTTTTTGGTAATTAACTTTCATTTGTAATCACCAAAGATGATACTTTACAATTCTATAGTCAAGCCAAACTCAGCTGGTTATCTCAAAAAGAAGTAAACACTAACACAAACCTAATTACATATTACTACTGATCTACTCCTCTATAAGAAATTGTTGTATATGACTCTTAGCTCGAGCCGCTACTCTAATATTGCAAATATATGCTATTTCTCTTTCCCAAACAGCACTGTCACGATATCTTTGCTGAAATGTACGTGTGTTCCTTTCAATCCATAGTGCATATGAGGTTTCAGCATAGATCATTCTGAATATGCTAGCCTTGTTGGACTTTCCTTTACCTTGCTTGATGATCCACTGAAGGTGTTGGTCCCAACAAGATGTAATCATTTGGCCTCCTTGAACCCATTTCATAATTTTCTTCAGTAGCACTATTGCATATGAACATTGCACTAACAGATGCTCCATTGTTTCACTCTGACCCTGGCACATAACACAGTGAGGAGTGACATTTAATCCCCAGTTAGTTAGTCTGTCTTTAGTAGGAAACCTTCCGTGCAATAGCAGCCACATAGTGAATACTGCTTTTGGTCTAGCAGAATTCTGAAAAACTAGACATTTCCAGCTTACTCTTGGTAATTCTCCTAGCAACTGTAAGTATATTTGCCTGATACTACTAGTATTATGATCACTGGAATTCTGAGCCTGCAACATGGTACCTCTTGATCCAATTATTCTTCTCACCATCCAACTAGCTTGTTGTGGGATTGGCATGTGCTGGAGTTGTTGCTGTTTGATGTAATAGGCATTAATCTACCGTATCCATAACTTGTCCTATTTGTGAGCTAAATCCCAGCATGTTTTAGCAATTGCAGCTTTGTTCCACAGAGGGAGATTTATAAGGTTTAGACCACCAGCTGATTTAGGAGTACACATCTTCTCCTATGCCGCTAATGCCTTCTTAGTTATTGTGTTTGTTCCTGACCAAATATAGCTTCTGCAGAATGCCAATCATTTTCAAAACCTTAGCAGGTAAGATGAATAGTTGAGCCCAGTAGGCTTGGATACCAAATATAACAGATTGCACCAGCTGCACACGACCATCATAGGATAGCTTTTTAGCAGTCCATGAGGAGATCTTGGCTATGATCTTTTCAATCAAAGGTTGCCATTGAATGAGTGCTATTTTCTTAGTAGAAAGGGGGATACCTAGGTACTTGAAAGACAAGGTACCTTGTTCAAACCTGATGCGTCAGAGAACTGAGAGAAGTATTTGTATAATGTAGTCACTGAGGATAGGTTACCCTTGGCAAACAGCAATAGATCATCAGAAAAACTCATATGAGTTATGTCTAATTTCCTGCATCTGGGGTGGTATTGAAATGTAGGCTCCTTCTTAAGTTCATTGAGGGATCTACTCAAGTACTCCATCACATTTGCAAATAGAAAGAGAAAAATATGATCTCCTTGTCGAAGACCTTTAGTAGCATTGAAATGCTCAGTAGTTTCTCCATTCACAAGGACAGTGTAGTTTACTGTCTTGACGCATTCCATTATCCATTTGATAAATCTGTCAGGAAAACCTATCTCCTCCATCACTTGTTGTAAAAAGATCCATTCTAATGAATCATATGCTTTTTGAAGGTCAATCTTTATCATACACCTAGGGGATATCTAAGCTCTAGTATAGGATTTAACTAGCTCATGAGCTAGAATTACATTGTCTGCAATCTTTCTACCAGGGATGAAACCAGCTTAAGCTTCAAAAATTATAGTTGGCATGACTTTCTGCAGTCTAGAAGCCAAGATTTTAGAGATCATCTTGTATAGAGCTGAACAACAGGCTATTGGTCTATACTCTTTGACTATGGCAGGTTTGGTCACTTTAGGAACTAATGTGATAGTGGAACAATTTATTGCCTTATAGATCTTTCCAGTTGAGAAGAACTCCTTTATAGCCTCTGTAATCCGATTGTTGATAATGCCCCAAGCTTTTTTTGAAGAAAACTGCATTAAATCCATTAATACCTGGTGCTTTATCATCACTAATAGCTTTAAGACTCTCAACAATCTCTTAGTCAGTTACCTCTGCACACAAATCCATCCTTTGCTGATGAGATAATGTAGGACCATTCTTCATGTATAATCTGTTTATTGCAGGTAAGGAATTGGCAACTGATCCCATTAAACTCTTATATAAATCTATGATCTCCTTTTCCATAGTTGCTGGGTCAGTCAACTTGTCTCCTAGTAATGTTGTGATTTCTGTATTCTGCTTCCTTTGAGTTCTATCCTTCATTACTGCTGTGAAGTATTTTGAGTTGGAATCTCCAAGCTGTATCCATCTTGTTCTAGCCTTTTGTTGTAGGTCACTCTCCTCAATTAAAGACCACTTCTCAAGATTGAGTAGTATTTCCTTCTCCATATCTAACAAAGCATCAGTACAAGTTATTGATATCTGTTCTTGAATGGTCTTCAACTCTAGTCTAGCCTTTTCAATTCTTTGAGTGATGCCACTGAATTCCCTAGAATTCAAAGGTTTCAGAGCAGGTTTCAAGACTTTCAACTTTGTCCATACTGATTTCAAAGTTCCACAAGTATTGTGAGAATTCCATATGTTTGCCACTATTTGAGAAAAGTCTCCATGTGCTGCCCATATGTTGAAAAAACTGAAGGGTACTCTACCAGTCCATGTTGAAGATGACAGTGTTAACAACATAGGAGCATAATCTGATATTTGAGGCAAACCATAGTTAGTTTCCACATGGCCCCAGGACATCATCCATTCATAGTTACCAAAGACTCTATCCAGTCTACTGTTGGCTCTATCTACACCAGGTTGTTTATTTGTCCATGTATAATAGTCACCCTTCCAAGGTAGTTCTGTCAATGTTGTTTGTTGAAGGCAAGTAGCACAATCTTAAATCTCTGAATAGTTTACTGGGTTACATGATAGTCTGTCATTTAGATATAGTACTGTATTAAAATCTCCTGCTATTAGCCATGGAACTGTTATACTTACTGATAGTAGTTGTAGGTTACCCCATAGAGCTCTTCTTTGTTCTATCCCATTATAACCATAAACTACAGTGAGTAAGAAATCTATATCTCCCTTTCTACTTTTCACCTGAAAATGTATCATTTGAGCATCATCTTTAATATGAGTGACAAAGAGATGATAAGTATCCCATAACAACCAAATCCTTCCATTCCTAGCATCCTTATCATTTGTCAAAATATTCCGTCCAGGAACAATAGCTTTTGAAATCCTTTGAGCATTCCCTTCCTTCACTTTAGTTTCTACAAGACCTACTAACTTTATTTTGTTGCTCCTAATATACTCCCTAACCTCCTTCTGTTTATACCTTTTATTTACACCCCTTATATTCCAGAACAACCAATTCATTACTATTTATTGCTACTTCCACCTCTATCACCAGGTGGAATATGTACTTCATATCTACCTATAGGTACTGCCTCAAACCTATTTCTCACTGGGATGGGAGACAAAGGAGGGAAGTTGATGGGGTTAATTTCAGTACTTTGTACTGCTTGCCTTTATCGTCCTGTTTCTCAGCTACAGGCTCCAAGTTTTGATGAGTATTGCTCTCCTTAGGTTTAGGTGTTTGTATTGCTCTTCTATGAACTTCAGCTTCCAGATTGGTGACAACTTGTTGTTGAGTCTCAGAAGAGGATGTATTTAGTGGCTCAGATGCATTAGGTATAGGACCTTTAGTTCTCCATTCCTGTGTGATTACCTTATTACTCCTGACTTTCTTAGGCTGGATTGGCTGTTGCATCATAGGTCTTGCTTGATTGGAACACTTGTGTCCCACAACTAAGCATTTGTCACAATAGGCAGGTTTCTAGTCATAGGTAACAGCTTGCAAAAACTTCTTTCCAGTTGGATCTATAACCATAACTTCAGTTGACAGCTCTGTAGTAACATTAACCTCAATAAGAATTCGAGCAAAGGATACCCGTCTGCTTAGTGGTGCACTCATCAGCAAATATAGGCTTCCCAATCACACTAGCAATTCTACTGAGTGAGCCAACTCCCCAACAAGACATAGGCAACTTAGGAAATTTGACCCACAATGGAATAACAGTAGGAAATTCTTCAGTGAAATCAAAGTCAGGGGTCCATGGTTTTAAAATGATAGGCTTGTTGGCTATTGAATAAGGGCCAGCACATAGTATTTCACGAGCATCTTCAATAGTTTGGAATCTAATTATGTAATATCCTTCATCATGGTAGAACAGATCAGGCTCAGCAATATGTGACCAGTGTAAATTAATGTATCTCTTCATCGCATAATACCCTAGCCCATCTCCTAAAATATATGCAATCAATGCACACCTCCATTTGTTCTCTTCCGCTTCTACCTCTGATTTGTCTAATTGAACCATAAGCTGACCATCTACAATTTGCGGTGGGATATAGGAAAATAACATGCCATTTGTAGCAAATCGATTCTTCTGGAACAAAGTTGCCCATGGAGCTTTAGGTTCAGCTTCAGCTTCACTTGTTCTTACCACCTCTGCCTCTGCTGATTTCTCCGATGAATTTACTTGATTTTGAGCTGGCTTGAGCATATTTACTGTTCCATTGGCTGGTACTGTCAAAGTAGCTGCTACAGGACTAACTGACACTGGTGAAGTTAGATCTAGTCTCTTAGAGATGTTAGGATGGCTTGAAGTAGAACCAAATTCACATGCAACACCTTCCTTAGTGGATCCGCATTTTGAGTTGATAATGGTGGAGTAGCTTCTGGTGCTGCTTTCTCCATCAATGGCTGATTTCCAGTTATCGTCGAGCTTACAAGAGTTGTTAATGGGTACTTACGAGGTCGACCCCGTCCTCTGCCTCTCCCTTTTGCCATGGCTACACAAGCGGCGTACGTTTAACTAACGTGCGCCGAAAGCATTGCGAAGAAGAGAGCTCATGATTTTAACTTTTATGTTATGCTTTAGTATTCAAATAAAGTATCTGTTGGAAGGTACTGTTTAACTAAATAATGATATAACATTTCTGGTCTTTCTTTTTAGATGATTCATTTTCTCATCTATTTTTATTTTCCTATTCTTTAATTTCCTTTTGTTTCCCTCTTTCGTTTTCTTTTACAATAAAATATGATGTTTCCTTTTCTTTATCTTTTCGTTCTTTATTTTACTTTTAAATAACTTGATAAAATAAAATCTTTACATGTTTGACGTATGAAATTGTCTTTTCAGAAATTTTTTTGTTATTGTTTCATCTTCCCGCTCTCGTCTAACTTCATCTAAAACCTTAGCTTGGCATCCCTTAATCGCAAGTCAATATCCAATTCATATAACTTCCCCTCTCATGTCATCGATATATACGTCGAGGTGCATTCATCATCTAAAAATCTTGTATCCGCCTCTGCCAACAACTATTGGTCTTTTAAATCAAGAGAACTGAAAGCAATAAAATTTAATAAAGAAAAGAGGAAATACTCCTACAAAATCCATAAAAATAGATATTTTCTATTTTTTTTATTTTTTTATAAAATTTTTAAGAATTTCCTGTTAATTAATTGCTTGCATTTAGCTGCGCATTTAATATTTTAAAATCATAAAAAATACCAAAAAATGTCTAAAATATTCATTGCATAGCATTTTAGATCTTAATTGCATTTAAGATTTAATTACACGAGTTAATTGTATTATTAAATAAAAATCACAAAAATAATGGTCATTTTACATCTTTAGCTTTTAGTGTTAAATTAGTAGTTTTCTTTCATTAATTTTAAGTTAATTAATTATTTAAATGGTAAAAATAGATAATTAAGTTTAATTCTATAAATTAGATTAATTTAGGACTTAATTTAAGTTTTTAATTAATTTTGTTAGGATTTAAATCAAGAAAAACAAAGAAAGGAAATGAAGAGTTTGTTTGGTCTTAGTAAAATTGGGCCAAGGGTTTATCAGTAGCCCATTTACTCCAAATCCGCTCCAACCCACATCCATTCCAGACCAGACCCTTTTAAATCCGATCCACCCCCTTCAAAACCAAAATGACCCTATTTTGTTAACATTTGATCTGAGCCGTTCAAACTCTCTAATCTAACCGCTGGGAACTGATCCCCCCACTCCTTTATATCTGTCCTAAAATCCTCCCCCCCCACCCCCACAAACCCTCAAGACACTCCCATTCTCTCATCGCCCTCCTCTCTAATCCTAACCATAGCCGCCCCAAATCTCCTACACCCTGCCGGCGACGGCCACACTTCAAACAACCCGAAATCTTCACCCTATAACCCCCACATCTTCCTAACCCCAAATCCCTTACCAATTTCCCCAAATAATCACCCAAACGCCTATTTCAGATCTTAGAGATGGCCAGAAACCCTAATCCCCCTTGCTCGATTTTTCAAAGATTCCCAAGAATAATTCGGCCCAAAATATATATTGGTCGATTGTTCTCAACGAGAACAATCGAATGATGTTGAGTTCGGATTGTTTCAAAGAACATCAGAGTTGGTCAAGATCGTCATTCCTCGGAATTTTCTTTGTCTGATATTAGTGGGTAATTCCTCTCCCTTATTTCTTTTATTCTTCTTCTTCTATCTTCATCCAAATGAATCTTCTGCTTTTTCAATTCTTCTCCAGATGTTTTGTCCTAATTAGGACTTTTGGTTTAATTTCAGTTTTATTATAATGAAGAGGTCTAATTACAGTAATTTAGTTTAAATACATAACATCGGGTTAATCGACCTTAGATTAGTTTGGACAGTTGAAATGGTTTATTTGATTGAATTAGGCATCGGTTTTGTTTTGGTTATGTGTTTGCATGATTTATCTATCAGTTCAATTGCATAATTTTGGATTAATTAATTACATTAGGTTAATCATAATTCTTCCTATTTTTCTTTTTGTTTGTTCTTACGGTTAATTACATCTAAAGAGGCCCTTGTTTTATTTAATCAAACGGGTTTTTGTAAGTTGCCATTTATGTTAGAAATTAGGCTAAAAGAGATAAAATACAAAAAACCAAACCAAACCAATTATGGTTGGGTTTTGTTTACCAATACCAAACCAACTCAAACCAACCACAATCGAGTTTTATTCTCGATTTGACTCGGATTATCGGTTTGCTGCGGTTTATCGGTTTTCTTTGTACACCCCTAATTATACTTCTCATTTCGAGGGTAATATCTGCATATATAGAAATTACCTACGAACTTCGTTAGTAATCTGTAACTAAATTGCTCAAAGCTAAATTTTGCTAGTTAGCTACAGAATTTTTCTTTGGATGCAGGAACAACAAAAGTCACGAGATGATGATGTTGAATCAAACTTCAAATCTACTAATCATGACCGAAAGCGTCATTAAGCCCGCCACGACCTCGCCTTAATAAGCCAGACGGCTTAATCTCTCCCTTTATTCTTGACTTTAATCCTTTTACTTTATCATGATATCTTTATTAACATCTTTACATTATTATTGGCAGGTGACATTTTGCTAAAATATTACAGGAGTTAGCAATCAAGTCTACTGACCAAGAAGCACCATTCGGCTCCCTTGGCCTAATCATCATAAGCCAAATGGCTTTATATCTCACTTTACCTTCACTTCACACTTTATATTTATCCAAACTTCATGACTCAATTAATAACTTTAGCCTGAATTTTGCAGGAACAAATATTAAGTCTATCATTCAAGATCGGAGGCGTCATTTAGCCCGACACTGCCTCACATAACAAGCCAAATGATTTTTCTCTTACTTTACTCTCTACTCTACCCATTACTTTATCATTCACTTTATCTATTGTATGCGTCATATGGTCCATCGAAGCCTCAACATCATAAGCTAAACAACAATTTTCCTTCCTTACTCTATACTTTATCATTTACTTTATATCAACTTTATGACTAAATGATTTTACTGTGATCTTTACATGAAAATTTATTCAAGACTTCACAAGCATCAACATGACATAATAAGACAAAAAACCTCATTCATACCAAATCATTGACTTTACCCCCTACTTTATTATGTACTTTTAACTTTGCGAATTTATCCTGAACTGTACAGGAATAATCATCAAGTCTCCAGAGACAAATGGAGGCGTTATTCAACATCAAATCTTCGAAGACAACCAGAGATATCATCTGGACAGCCTCATCTTCATAAGCCAAACGGCTTTATTCATACTTTATCATTGACTTTACCTTACTTTATCATAATTTATGACTTTATGACATTATCCTTAATTTTACAGGCAACTTTACCCATGACTTTACAAACATCATTCATCATTAAGTCTCTATAAAACAACTAGAGGCATTATTGTCACTAAACCCACCAACTACAATTGGAGGGATCGTTAGGCTCGTCCGTCTTCAGTAGGACATTTAGGCTCGTCCGCCTTCAATTGGACACTTAGGCTCGTCTGCCTTCAAATAAGACATTTGGGTTTGTCCGCCCTCAAATAGGACATTTAGGCTCGTCCGCGTTCAATAGGACATTTAGGTTTATCTGCCTTCAATAGGATATTTGGGTTCGTCTTCCCTCAAATGGGACGTATCAGGTTTATCCACCTTCAAATAGGATATACTGGGCTAGTCCACCCTCGAATAGGACATTTAGGCTCGTCCGCCTTCAATAGGACATTTAGGCTCGTCCACCTTCAATAGGACTTTTAGGCTTGTCTGCCTTCAATAGGACACTTGGGCTTATACGCCTTCAATAGGATATTTGGGTTCGTCCTCCCTCAAATAGGACATATCGGGTTCGTCCGCCCTCAAATAGGACATACCGGGCTAGTCCACCCT